GCGCGACGTCGCCGAGCGTGTTCGGGTGAAAGATACCTAGAAGGAGGCGCAGCTGCCGGCGATGGAAGCTGTCAAGGCCCCTAAGGCTCGTTGGCGTCAGGGCCCACGTGCCACAGTTGAACTTTTGAATGCGAAGCATTGTTTACCGGTATTTGCGACGACGGCGCGTCGCTTGCTGCAGTCTTCAATGTGGCATCGCACCTCGGTCATCTCGTTCTTCCAGAGCATTTTTGATGCCTTCGTCATGAGTCGAGTTGGCCTCCGTCGATGGGGTTGCTGCGGCGGGTTGCGAACGCTTCGCGAGTCTTGCCTTCCTTCGGGTCTCTTGCATGCTCTGCGCTTGCCGCTCCCGGAAGAGCTCCGCCTCGTACACCGTTCGTGGCTTTACCTGCTTCCCATGCGGCCCCATGGTATGGTACTAGAGGGTGTCCTTGCCATGACGGTCGTCTCCGCGCGTAACTGTCAAAGCGCGGTGAGAGCTCTATTAGGTGCGGCTGGGATGGCGTCATGTACCCTGATAAGTACGTCGTACTTAATTTTTACAAAATCAAGTATAATGTCCCAAAATGGACAGCACTTAACAGGGACAGCAAAATCGCACTTGACGGGACATGTTTCGCGCGATGCGATTGGCTGAGACCAATGAAACTGCGTTTCATTGGACAACAAATCTGGAATTATAGCCAATGGGTTGGCCGGATTGAGACACGACACGCCGAATTAATCCCCTGGGATGCTGGTACACCACGTAAACGTTCCTACCAGGATGACTTCTTTCCTCTTTGGATGTCGCGTGCTTTTTTCCCATCCGCACGTATGCCGGGCTGGACCAGCTAAGAACTCGCTGAACTCTGTTCACGGCTACTGAGATTACTTCATACAAGCCCGCAAACAGCACGTGCTCGGCCGACGCGATGCTCTTACCAGCGCGTTGCTGTGCGCCATCCACACTTGCTGAAAGCCAGTCTCGAGCTCCGGGCCCGACGCTGCGAGATCCAGCGACGCGACTCCGTGTCAGGGTTAGGGTAGGTCTAGGTTCTGAAGAGTCCGCGGCTCGTCAAAACCCACCGGTGCGACGGAATCGATGGACCCAAGTGCATTGCAGGATCCACTTGCAGCAAGTCAGTAGCATACGTAGTGCACGAGTCAGCACCAAGGCCAAGTCTTTCGACTCTGTGACAGTACACGGCCGGCCCCGTGTGCGATCAAGAGGTCAACAAGGGGAGCAAGGACGTCGTTGTGCGAGGCGGTTCGTAGCAAAGTACATACGGCCGATTAGTGAATGAGACTCGCTTCGTCCGATGCGTCAACGCTGGGAGAGACTCGACGTGCCTCTGTCGAGGAACACGACACACGGACGACTCGAAAGACCACTTATGTGTTGGATCGCGGCGTTGCTGAGCTGGCGACGGACGGACTGAGGGACGCTCGGCGTTGCAAGTTGAGTCTACACCTTGAATATGAAGATCTTTGACACACCGGATGGACATACTCGGGTGGGTTGATGCTCGATTGCTGCGCAAGGTACTTCCTACTCTCCGAACGGTGAGTGGAAAGGTTCAATCGTGTTACCACGCAAGCGGCTTGAGACGCAGGGACGGCAGGGACGTCTTTTTGCCATACGGCGCCCAAATACGCAGTGCCCTTCCTTGCTTTGGTCCCAGCGCCGAGCCGCAGGACTCCTTGGTCACGACGCTACCCGCAAGGAAATCAAGGTGTGAAGCACGTTCCAAGAGCAGCGCCACGCACGCGAGGTCCTCGGTCGTCGTGTTCGCATCCTCGTCGTCGCTTTCGCCCGCCCGTCGGATCTAGAGATGTCGTCGCGACAAAGATAGAGGTTCGGGTCCACGTACGACGAGTCGCTTGACGCGCCGAGGGCGTCGTATTCGAGCTGCTCCAGGGGCGTGAGCTCGGCAACTGGCAGAACCGGCATGGTGGCTCGGCGCACGACCTTGCTGTACACTCGCTTGTGCAGCGTCACACTGACCTATCGCAGATCGTCACCAGTCGACGTGCATTTCTCGCGCGTCGCACCGGTAGCAGCTTCATGGGCAAGTAGGCGACGAGGATCTCGCTCTAAGCTAGATGCAGCCATGTCTTTTAATATCTTCGCGGACGGACCATGGCGGTGAGGTGGGTGGGCCGTAGCGTGCTCAGCGTCAGGTGCTTGGACTTGAGCACAAACCGTCGCTCGGGTGTGTGCTGCACGCAATCCGATACGCGCTGGGCGACATGGTCGAACACGTGTACGTACTTGACTCAGGATGTACTGAAAGTCCTCCAGGATCGCGTGCACGTCTTCAACCTAATGACTCGAGGTAGTGCTTCATACTGGCACAACCGTGGCGTGGAAGCTGCTGTCGTACGGTCTCGACTTCAAAATCCACTTTGCGCATCGACTGCTGCTCGCCGAGGAGCCGCTGGACACTTGTCGCGTGCGACTAGACACACAGCTGTGCACACGTTGTCGTATACGCCACCGCGTACCTCGATCGCGGCCTCGTATTGCTTCAGCAGCGCACCAATCGCGTCGTCAACGCGCGCAATCTTCTCGTCCAAGGCGTCGTTCTCTGCCTGTAGCTTGTTTACGATCGACTGACTCGCATCCAATTTCTACACGCGCGCCTCGAATTGCGGAAGAAGAGAAGAGACGACGACAGACGCTGCGAATGCTGTCGGTGCGAGTAAGGTGCACGAGGTCCTTCTTGATGAGGCGCTTCATCTGCAGCGTGTGCACCGCGTGCATTTTGGCCACTTGGCGCTCGGCGTGCTTGATGCGCATGGCTTTCATCTTGAGCTCGATTTGCATCGCGGCGATCACGTGGGCCGCGGCCTCGTTCCGCGACGTCGCCTGCTGGATGCGCGTGTGGAGCTGCGCCTTGAGCGACGCCGTGCGACTCGTCAAGGCCAACATCCCATGCAACGAATCCAAGCTGGCATCGTACATCATGGATCAAAAGGATATGTTTCCGCGGTCGTCGCATCGGCGTGGCCCCGCGACGGCATGTAATGCTAGCGTTATAAAGCGCGCGAAATAGCAAGAATAGACGACCTATCTGCGGTGCCTGAAACGAAGTGGGTAGAATCGATCAGCGACAGTTCGTTGCCACATCCAGTGCTGACTTTGCCACGAGTCTCTTGGCGTTGGCGAGCTTCAGCCAAGGTACCCGTCGGCGAGAAGTTGTTGAAGACCACCACTCGATGATCAAGGTGTTTAAGGACCGGGTAGGTAGCACTACCTGGTGCTTGAATGCGAGCGTGTCCTGTAAACGACCAAGTCGACCTTCAGCGTCGCAGCACGAGGGGCGAGTACTCGCTCTACTCGACTAACCGAGGTGCCAAGGGAGGACAATATTTCCTTGTCGGTGGCGGGAAGATCCACCGTCTGGTCGCGTGTATCCGGATGACGCCGGATAACGAATCCAAGCGCCGGCAAGCCACGCAAGCGGGCCGATGACGACGCCGATGTTTGCGATGATCTGCGCCAACAACGTCAACCGCAGCACGGAGGCCCACGACCACCTGCACGCTGCGGGCCTGCGCGTGTGCTCCTTCGGCGCCGGCAACAAGGTGCGCTTCCCGGGCCGCAGCCGCTACGAGCCGCACATCTACGAGTTCTTCACGCCGTACGAGGTCATGTACCGCGAGCTCAAGGCCGAGAACGAAGCGCTGTACGCTATCTCGACGCTTGCTAATGAGGCTCACGAAGACTACGTAGCTTTCGCCACAATGGCGTGCTGGCCATGCTCGAACGCGACATTCTGACCAAGAAGGCACCGCAAAAGTGGCAGGACAACTCGACGACCGACCTCGCGCAGCTCGACGTCGTCGTGTGCTTTGAAGACCGCATCTTTGACATCGTCCTCGAAGGTAGTCTTCCGATCGCCATGCTGCTCTGACGCCGCCTAGACTTGCAGCTGCGCAAGCCGCATGCGTTCCATCCGATCCATGTCATCTGCCTCGACATCAAGGACACGCCCCAAGACGCCGTGATTGGCGGCGCACTCGCGCTCAAGCTCTGCCAAAAGGTTTCAAATAGTGCGTGTGTGTTGGTGTTTCACGCGCCGGTAGATCAACGTGCTCTCTGATTTGGAGATGGACGTGCCGAAAGCCATCGACGAGTTCGAAGCCGAGTGCCAAACCAAACTACTCTACGCCCTCGTGTACGTCTAATACGACGCGTCTTATCTCTGCATCTCTCTACGCACCCGCACCAAGGTTTGTACCTCTTGTTGTCGTCGGCCGTTCTGGCTCCTTGTGCACTCTACCTCGTGTCTGGGAGGCAGCGACGCTAACTTGGTGACAGCATCCCAAGCTCATCGCGTGTAGCAATGGCAACAAGTAGGTAGTGCTAGCGTGCGCTTGCACCCGACAAGAAGGCAAAAAAGCCATGCGATACGCTTCCAGCGGACTGCTAACTTGTCGCCGTCGCTGGCTGCAAGAGGTCGTAGCACAAGATGCATCGCAAGGGCTTCCGTGCAGCTTGCATGCAACGAGAACCCGTCGTCGTTGGCATGAACCGAGAGAAAGGCCGGTTCATGCGCAGCAGAACCAGCTACAGAGGTTACTTGGGGCTAATTATATACATCCCCGCATGGCGCAGCTCACGGACGGCAAGCCGACGGGGTCGAACCCGCTCTGGAAGTCGTGGGATGCCAAGTCCACCAAAGCCGGTCCGCACCACTCGGTGTACTGGGTCAAGCACAGCGCGGCGCATGCAAGCGAAGACAAGTACGGCAACCCGAGTGCGAACCCCAAGTCGCGCTACACGCTGGCGGCCAAATACAACGGCGACTGGGCCAACGACAAGAAGGCCGGGTATGGCACGCAGGTGTGCGCCAACGGCAACAAGTACGAAGGCGAGTGGGTCGACGGCAAGCGCCATGGCAAAGGTACGACGCAGCAAGTATCATCTCGGAATCCAACCGGCGGTAGGCACGTTCTGGGTCAAGCGGCACGCGACGCTGCGCAAGCAGTATACGGGCGACTGGGCCGAAGACGAGCGCCACGTACGACGTTCACATCTCCGAGCGCCTCGATGAAGAAGCGACGTCATATGTAGGGCCTTGGCGTCTACTACTACGAAGATGGCGGCAAGTACGAAGGCTTCTGGACGCGCGGCCAGCGCGATGGCAAAGGGCGTATGACGTACGCGGACGGCGCGGTCTACGAAGGCAAGTGGGCCAAGAACGAGCGCAGCGGCATGGGCACCCTCCACTTGCGTACCACTCCATAGACGACTTGTCGTGATGACGATGCACGTAGCCAACGGCAACCACTACGAAGGGTACTGGATGCATGACATGAAGGAAGGCCCGGGCCGGTTCTTTTACAAGAACACCCACAAGATCTACGAGGCCGAGTGGCAGGCCGACACGGCCAAGTGCGGGGTAAAAGAAGATCTCTCGGCGTTTTCTCGACGACTAAGGTGGTAGACGTATCATGACATGGACAGCGACGCGGTCGCCCCCGAGCACTTTGAGCTGCCCGAGGTACGAACCAGACGACAGCACGTCATCATGGTGGCGGCGTAGCTCGAGCTCGCGTCGCCCGAGTCGGTGCTCAACGACACGATCACCGCGCTCCGGGCGCAGCGCCTCCACGACGAAGCGACGCCGTCCGAGGCCGTCTTTGCGCTACCCGTCGACGTCCAAGCCCGCATCCAAGAGGCGTTCCATGCGATCGACCGCGCCCATAAAGGCACGATCCGATGCGTGGACTTGGTCCGGCTCCTCCAGCAGATCGAGTGGGATGGTCTGCACAACGCCCAAGCCGACGTCAGCAGCAAGGTCGAGGGGCTACTTCACGAGCTCGGTGTGTCGTACGACACAGAGATCACGTTTCCCGAGTGCATCGACATCCTTGCGGTCCTCCTCGAGCCCGAAGACAACCGGACGGCTGTGTCGTAGGATGTAGTACGCTGCTGCTGATGAGGATGAAGAGGATGAGGATGGAATGGACTTGCATCTAAACGCCGCTTGTCTTGTCTATTACGTGAAGCGGAGGCCGAGGGCCGCGACGACGGCACGGTACTGCTGGAGGTTTTCCCGGCGCAAGTACTCGAGGAGCTTCTTTCGTCGGCTAATCATGGACTGGAGGCCACGGCGGGAGTGGTTGTCCTTCTTGTGGTCCTTGAAGTGCTCGGTCATGCGCTTGATCTTCTGCGTGAGCACGGCCACCTGCACCTCGGTCGAGCCCGTGTCGCCGGGGAAGCGCTGGAACGCCTCGATGGCCTTCTGGATCTTGAGCTGGTTGATTTCCGCCTGCGACGCGTTGTCGAGGTTGAGCATGCGGTGGACCGCGTCCGGCGCGTCGCGGATCTGCGCCGGCTTGAAGCCGAAGCGGAGGTCCTTCTCCGCCGAGACCTCGTCCGGCAGCTTGTACGTGAAGGTCTTCTTCGGGGCGTCCACGGTGCTAAAGGCGCGGGGCAGGCCGAGGGCCAGGCGAGGCGCGGGCGCACGGGCAGCGATCAGGCGCAACATCGTCGACGGCAAATGCACTTGTTGCACCCTGTTCCACCAGTCTTTGACGTACCCAATCAAGTGCGCCAGACAAAGTACGACTAAGCCATCCGGCTGGATCGCCTAGTCGGTGTACGATTCAACCGGTTTGTGCTGCAAACCGGTTTGTGTCTAGTTTCACGCAACGTCTATCACAGTGCCTGTCATGCAAACCAGATCATTACGTGCACAGAGGGGACGGCCGATGTCACGGACGAAACACACTCTGGTCCGGGCGCGTCGTTTCCGTTGCTAATATGGAGCACTTGGATCGTCTCTAGAGAGAGTACGTCGTAGCAGCTCGCTGTGGACGCGAGGGCCTGAAGCGAGCAAGGCAGCGAGGACCAGCTGCTGCTGTGTCGCGTCTTCTGCACAAAGAGCACAAAGCCGTTTTGATAAAATCTCGTCCACCATCATTTTTTGAGATTTCTGATCAGTCCATGGACTCCTTCTTTTGCATCGTGGTGGGCAGAGGTGCGAGCGACGAAGCGCAGATAGCGACCAACGACCGTCGTCGTTACAAGGCTGCGCAAAGATGAATCATCGTCCCGTTGGTCATGGATTTGGCGGTCGGTTGCCGTAACAGGCGTGAGTTGGGTGGTTCCAGCTGGCAGATATCCGGATACCGTTGCATCTTCCGGCGGCGCCGCTCGGCACTTCACATTTCGCCACACGCGAGCTATGAGCATCATTGGGAGCGCGTCCGGCGGCTACGACCTCCGCGTACGTGGCAGCAGGCGCGGCTTCGTCATCTCATGCCACTCTAGACGGTCACCGTGGCGGCCACGCAGATGAGCTGCCGCAACCAGGACGAGAACATCAAGAAGGCCGAAAGCCTCGTGCGGATCGCGCACGGTCGCGGCGCGCAGATCGTGCTGCTGCAGGAGCTCTTCCAGCACACGTACTTTCCCATGGACCTCTCGAGCCAGAACTTCCAGCTCGCTGAGACGCTTGAGGGCAGCGGCATTGTCCGCGGTACGTACACTTGCCGCGAATCTCGCGCCTCCATTTGCGTTGCCTAGGCATGCAGGTGCTCGCCAAGGAGCTGCGTGTCGTTCTGCCGATTAGCTTTTTCGAGCGGTACCAAAACTCGTACTACAACTCGGTCGCGGTCATCGACGCCGATGGCTCGGTGCTTGGCGTCGTCCGGAAGGCCCACATCTCGGGTCCGTCGAACGCTACATACAGTGCAACGTCTCATCCTCGTGCATAGATCGCCTTGGCTACAACGACAAGTATTATTTCGCGCCCTCGGACGTTCCGAGCGCCGTCTTCAAGACGGTATGCATCGTTTATGGTCCATGGACGGGGATGCATCGTCTCTTCCCTAGCGCTACGCCACGATCGGCGTTGGCATCGGCTCGGACCAGTGGTACCCGGAAGCCGCGCGTCTTATGGCGATCAAGGGCGCCGAGATCATTCTGTATCCCAGCGCGCTCGGGAGCAACCAATTCGTGCGCCGCGTCAGTTGATTGAACGCGTGGCTAACGTGGCTGTAGGACCCGAGCTTTGACCCGCGCGACCAGTGGCAGCGTGTCATGCAGGGCCACGCGGCCGCCAACATGGTGCCCATCGTCGCCTCCAACCGGTACAATATTGTCCCTTCAAAGTCAGCCACGTGACGCGATGCCCAGGGTTGGCACGGAGCAGAGCGATGGCATCCAGGTGACGTTCTGCGGCTCGTCCTTCATCACGGGCCAGACCGGCGAGCTTGTACGTACTCTTTGTTGCGTGTCGGCCAACGCTAACGCCAATGGTCTGTAGCTCAAGATTGCAGACCGCGAATCCGAAGGCGTCCTCGTCGAGGTCTTTCACTTGGAAAAGATGCACATTCGCCGCGCGAGCTGGGGTCTCCTTCGCGACCGCCGCCCGGCCTTGTACAGCCAGCTCGCGACACGCGACGGTGGCCAGTAAGCTACGATGTACGTACTAAAGTACATCACGAGGCCTTAGAGCGGAGTCGGTGCGACGAGAGTTCGTCGAGCAATAGCCTGACGACGTCCGTGGCTTCCTCTCGTTGAATGCAAGTGTGTGTCTCGTCTAGTACTGTGGTGTAAAGAGGGCGGTCCAATCGCAACGTTCTGGACACGCCAATCGTGCACTCCTGGCCTGTTTGGCGCTCACGCAGTGTTTGGTAAATGCACTGTTTCATGTCTAAGCATAGATTCTGTGGAAGTAGCCTCTTGTTTGTATACCATACAGATACGAAATTGGACCGATCTTGCAACGTCGGTCACTTGCGTTGAGTATGCGGTATACTAGAATCCAATGATACGCTCACACAGCAGTATCTTCGACTGCAGCGTATGCTGGCGAGAGGCAAGGAGCGTCCATCCCCCGTCATTGTTGATGCCTCTACGGGGACTTGGTGGTCGATTGGAAGCCGGCCTCGTCTGTGTCCTGCTGTCTCTCGTCTGGCGTGGCCTTCAAGGCTGGATCGAAATCGCGGCTGACGATTGGTTGAAATGGTGCGGATTGGCAGGAACCAATCAAAAGGTCGGATTCGACGCTG